TCTATAAACAGTTTCATATAATCTGATAAATGTTAATATTTAAATTTATCATAAATTGTCACATTGGCGTATATATCTATGTACGTGGCGATCACCAGGCGATAACAAACAGGTCTCAATATAAAGCTTTCAGTGACGGTCAAGTAGTTTAATAGCAGCATTTTACCTGAAATAAAATGCATATTAAAATACTTACCTCACTGAAAGCTTTCACTTTAAATTCTGCCTGGTGAAATAATTGAGCCAATGAGTTAATATGGCGCTGTCAAAACTTAGGAAAACAAAAATGGCCGCGCTTCTGCCAGGTGTCGCCACTGGACCGGATATAAGGTGAATAAAAGTACGGAAACTGATGGTAATTCGACGGGAAACGGAAGTGCTATCTCAATATAAAGCTTTCAGTGAGGTAAGTATTTTAATATGCATTTTATTTCAGGTAAAATGCTGCTAATATACAAAATTTAAAATCCAAATCAGCTGTTTTTAGTATCTGAAAGCGTAGATATTTGCTTAATAAGTGAAACTTGGCTTGCGCCTAAAGATGTTGTGAATTTTAGAGGTTACAATTTGTTCAGAAAAGATTCCGCAAACGGCTATGGTGGTGTTGCCATCTTATGCAGAAAAAATATAATTAGTTCAGTTATTGATACATATAATAGCAATAGTATTCAAACAATAGCGGTTAGCATTAAAACATTAATTGGCAAAATAACTTTATTAAATGTTTATTGTCCTCCAAGAAGTGGTCGCTTTCCCATAAATACTTTGAAAAATATTATAACGTCACTACCTTCACCATTACTAGTTATGGGTGACTTTAATGCACACCACACAGCATTTGGTTGTTTGTCGAATAAGCCTCGTATTCAGATTTATGATATGCTCGATGAAACAAATATGTTCCTATTAAACAATGGAGAAGTTACTACTCTAAACCGTCCTTATCAATCTGCTTCCGCGATTGATTTAGCGTTTGTTTCCCCTAATTTAGCTCCGTGCATAGAATGGTCAGTATATACAGGGGATACACTGGGCAGTTATCATTTTCCTACTATTATACACTTGGATGTCACACTATATTATATGCACTATATTACATGAAATATTTAATTATGAACGTCCTACTGATAAATTTTTGTATAACAAAGCAGATTGGTCAGGCTATGCATTAAAATCTGAACTACATATCAATAATTTATTATCAGAGCGCGATCCTTTGATGGCCTACAACAAATTTTGTGAGTTTGTAAATTTATTAAGAGATGAATTTGTACCCTTGTATAGGAATAAATGTCACGACGTTAAATATCATAAACCTGTTCCATGGTGGAATGAGAATTGTACAAATGCTGTCAAGGAAAGTAAATTAGCATTATATGTATATAGGAAATACCCAACTATTGAGAATTATTTAATATACAAAAAAGTCGATGCTAGGAAAAAACAAGTAATTAAACAGCAAAAAAAAGAATCTTGGCAAAAAATGTGCTCAACCTTCGATAGAAACACACCAATTAGTCAAATATGGAATATTGTCAAAGTATTTAATAGAAAAAAGACTTCAGCAAGGCAACAAGATGATAGTTTTGTAAATGCTTTTTTAAACAGAATCACCTCAAACCAACCCCCTGTAAATAACGATACTTTAAATGATGTTTTCAATAACAATGAACTAAATGATCATTTGATAACACCGTTTACTGCTGATGAATTCATATTCTCATTAAATAAAAGAAAGGATAGCACTCCGGGGCTAGACAATATTCCATATGTCTTAATAAAACGGCTTCATTCTACAGCTAAAATGGTTTTGCTACAGATATATAACAGTCTTTGGCAACAAAACATTATCCCGGAGACTTGGAAAACTATAGCAGTTGTCCCTATTTTAAAACCCGATAAGGACCCATTATTAGCCGAATCCTACAGACCCATATCACTTTCTTCCTGTCTATGTAAATTATTTGAAAATATGTTAAAAACTAGATTAGAGCTCTATGTAGAATCGAGGTCTATCATTCCTTCAGATCAATTTGGGTTCCGTAAAGGACGTAGTACAACAGACAGCTTGGTTAAATTTTGCGGAGATATACAAAATGCCTTTTTTGATAACAGTTACTTAATTTGCACTTTCCTTGACGTTACCGGTGCTTTCGATAATGTAAATTTATCTACGCTAGTCCACATTATTCATTCTTTTAATATACCAGGGAAAATATGTCAATGGATCTATAATTATTTCAATTCACGTTCTGTTTATGTCAAATATAATAATATTCTACACGGTCCAAAATTGGCACATAAAAGAGTAATGCAAGGTGCCACTTTCTCACCTTTAATGTATTTATTATATACGTCATTGTTACATAAATATGTGCATTTAAAAAATTATCAGTTCTTCAATATGCAGATGATATTGTAATTTATACAAAAAATAAAAATTTAACACAAGGTGTAAATTCATTAAACGAAGGACTAGATTCGCTTTGTTCTTTTTATAAAGATATGCTCCACTTAGATATTAACCCACATAAAAGTTCTTCTTTGATTTTAAGTAATAAGATAGATTATAACGATGTTAATATAAATATTGTATATGACTCTGTAAATATCAAATTAGTAAATGAAAAAAGATTTTTAGGTGTAATATTTGATTCTGAAATGCATTTTAAGTCTCATGTTGTAAATACTGTACAAAAAATGCAAAAAAGCATAAATATAATGAGATGTCTCGCGAGTGTTGATTGGGGCATGGACCCCAAATTACTGAACATGATTTTTAAATCCATTGTTAGAAGCCATTACGATTATGGTTTAATAATTTTCGGGAAATTTTTAAGCCAACCTTTATTTAAGAAAATAGAAGTAACCCAAAATAAGGGATTAAGAATTATTACTGGAGCAATGTGCTCAACTCCTATAAATTCGCTTGAAATAGAGGCTGGTATACCGCCCATTCTTGTTAGACTACGTTACCTTACTGAAAAGTTTTATGTTAAAGTTTTAGCGTCCAAAGAATACTCAAATTTATATAAACACAATAGACTATTGCAAAATGATTATATTTTTGAATTAAATAATATTTGTGAATGTATAGACCATAAAGGCAAATGGGATTTAGGCTCATTAGAAGTACAACTTACTACACCTTGCATTCTTTCTGAGAGAATATCAAATAATAGTGACTTTTTATATTTTGTTAATACTGAGAAAAAAGAATACCGACGGATATATACAGATGGATCTAAAACGGAAAACAGTACAAAAGCAGCATATTACGACTCTTTGTCAAAATTTGGGCGTTGTTTCACTTTAAACGAAAATTCTTCGATCTTTACTGCGGAAGCATATGCTATATGTGCAGCTTTACAGTATGCCATTGCTTTAGCTGACATCAATATTTTAATAGTGACTGACTCATTAAGTGTTTTAAGTTGCCTAGAAAATATTCATATATCCTATAAAAATAATATATTTATTAATAAAATAAGACAGTACATTTACGATAATCCTGAAAAACAAATTGAGTTCTTATGGGTGCCATCCCATAACGGGATAACAGGGAACGAAACTGTTGACAGATTAATGAAAATTCCAATTCCTGCCTACATTAATCCACAATATGCAATTCCACCTGTTCCAATGACGGATTACCATTCAGTTCTGAAGCATCGCATGTACAAACATTGGCATGAAGATTGGGAATTTACCAAACAATACAAGGGAAAGTGGTACGCAAGTATCCAAGAAAAGATTCCAGTAAAGCCCTGGTACTTCAGTCTTCAATCTTCAAATAGAAGATTAGGTCACGGAAGATTCGGTGCACACTTACACAGATTAAACTTAAAATCTTCAGGAACTTGTGAATATTGCGAAAATGATGAAGCTACACTAGATCACCTTATTTTACATTGTCCCGCCTTCAACATATCAAGAATTATTTTAGTAGATGGCCTACTGAGGATATTTAAAGATGATGACATTCCCCGCCTCTTGCCATCTATTCTCAAGAATTTTGAAACATATAAAATTTTATATGACTTCATTTCCGCTACGTTTATGCACTTGTAAAAGAAAAAAGATACCCTTGAATAACAAAGATAAATATGAAATGAACTCATAATAATGAAGAATTGGCTGTATGGATTTCATCCAAGGCCGTTAAACTATTAAAAAAAAAACCAAAACAAATAACATGCTTATTTTTTGGGGTTAGAATTGGTTAGAATTCACCAACACTTTTTGTTTAAATTGCGTTGAATTTAAAATTACTAAACATGGTTAAAAAGAAGATAGATAACAGAATCAGAGTTATGATCGAAAATGGTGTCAAAATGGGACACAGAACTATGTTTCTACTTGTTGGAGATAAAAGTAGAGACCAAGTAAGTAAAATTATAGTTTTCCACTTTTTTAACTTTATTTTAAATAAATTCATTGTGCTAAAGAGGACCCTGTATAACTTATGGATTATGTACAAAGTAATATGCTTGTGAATTAGAGATGAGTAGTCGACGTATTTTTCGTCAACGAAACTTAACCGTTCACTACCGTCCATCGACTAGTCGATCAACTAGTTGAATTCTTCGACTAGTTGACGTGATAACGGCAGGCTTTGAGGGGTTCATATCAACTAAGCGGTGGCTGGTCTACGGGCGCGACGCAACGACGACGACGGGGTCTTTATTTAGTATTCACTTTACATGATAGTCATTCAAATGTTTACAAAATTAATTATACTCATAACATAAAGATTCAATTCAAAAGAATTGAATTGAATTGAACTTTGCACTAAATTCGCATTCACGTGTCCCTTGACCTTGACCTTGCGACACACTAATTTCAAATTTCAATAAACAAAACTGCAACTACTTGAGGTAAACAATTATTATAAACCCATTCATCCTGCACTGCATCGTTTAGCCAGATCCATCGACGTACTCTTTCACGCAATATCAGAATACTCTTGCCGTTTCACTCTAACAACTCTAAAAAACGAACAAATATTCACTCCCACACCATGTACTTAAGTTTCAAATTGCTTTATTTCAACGAATCAACGAACGTATGGACTTGTAACGGGTAAACCGGATACGTTTACGTATCGTCGTCGCGTTGTCAGTAGATATAAACGCTGTGGACTCTCAGTTTAGCCGTCTATGAATTCAACAAGTTAACGAATGAACTGTAGACCGTCGAAGCGTCGATTGAACGTAGACCGTCTATTTAAACCGTTCGTTAATTCAACGCCCATCGCTGTTGTGAATAGTGAAAACAGTACCAAATACATTTAACGAGATATATAGCAATAATGTAACTGAAGTTATTTATAAACTTATGTTACTAACTTAATTGCATGAATTCCACTGTCGTAAATTGGCTTATTGATATATCGATTTTACGATTGCAATGTTACTATCATGTAGAAGTAAGAAACGGGTCTAATTTTAATATATTCACACTGAGACAATATTTTACTAAGATTTTGCATTTCATTAAAATTTCAGGTACCAATACTGTATGATATGTTGGTAAAATCAACAGTAAAAGCCAGACCTACTGTGCTATGGTGTTATAAAAATAAAGATGAAGCCATCAGCAAGTGAGTTCATAATTCCATTTAATTTAATTAGACGATTTTAGGTTTAATGTCTTTCAAATTCAATTAACTTCATATTGTAAGAGAAGTAATTAATTGGTATGCCATTTTAAAATTTATTTAACAAAAAAGTAGATTAGCAACATTTAGCCACCGTGCAAAGATTTTGCTACCATTTATAAAAATCAGGCTCCAATTATCAACTAGCTATTTTGGCTAACCAATACATTTTTTTGCTAACAAAGATACAAATACTTTGCTGACCATTTAAATAACACCCATTTTTTAATTTCTGTTCTTAGTCATGGAAGAAAAAGAGCAAAGAAAATTGCTGCTGGTAAACTGGAAGTGTCTGAGGAGTCACTGTTTGATGCCTTTAGGGTGGCAACAACTATACATGGTCGATATTACTCAGAAAGTCATGCTATGCTTGGACAGACATATGGAGTCTGTGTTTTACAGGTACTTTTATATTTATGTCTTTAGATAATGCAGAAGACTTTGTTTCCTCTTTAGTGTAGGGTTCTGATTTGTATAATTATTTGATTTAAGCTATTCTTGCTTGCATGCAGTCTATTTGTTAACATTTTAATGTTTTTAAATTTGTAATTATGTTTGTCAATCACACACATCTATCAGGTGAACCTTGTAACGTAGAACTTTTATTGTCATAATATTATTATGCATATCAGCGGATAGCATGAAATTCATTTTGCAGAAAATGATTTGGCATTCACTCATTTAGCAAACATTCAAACACATAGTTTTGTAAGCCTGAATCGTCTTTTACAAAAATTTAACTGTTCCTTATTTATTTATCTATTATCTATGGACAGATATCTAAGTCATTGAGACGAGATATACGTAACAGAAACACCAATAAGATACAGCGCTTAATCGAAAAAAATCGAGGACCCAAAGTTTTTAGTAGGGCTACTAGCAACGGAAGAAGCCAACTAAATAAACTAGAAAATTGCACAGGGCAAATAGTCACTGAAACTTCTGGGCTGCTAAGTATAATAGCTGAATTTTATGGAGACTTATATAACACACATACTTGCAAACCGACCGAACCGGCTGATAAACGTGCACCTCTGACAAGACACTATACAGAGGATATTCCTGAAATTAGTATCTATGAAGTCAGACAAGCGCTAAAACAACTAAAGCAGTATAAGTCACCAGGAGAAGACGGCATAACGACGGAACTCTTAAAAGCAGGTGTTCGGACAATTCTAAAAGAACTTCGTTGGGTATTTAACGAAGCGCTTTTCACTGGCAACATACCGAACAAGTGGCTTGATAGTATTGTTGTCCTGTTTCATAAGAAAGGTCCCAAGACAAAACTTAAGAATTACCGCCCTATCTCGCTGCTAAGTCAAGTGTACAAAGTATTCTCACGCATCATTACATCTAGGATTACAAATCGGCTAGATGAGCAGCAGCCCAGGGAACAAGCGGGATTCAGAAAAGATTATGGTACAACTGATCATATATTCACGGTAAGACAAGTGATACAGAAATCACTAGAATATAATAGACCACTTTACCTTGCTTTCGTGGATAATGAAAAGGCGTTCGATACGGTGGAACACTGGGCTATATTCAACTCACTTCAGAGATGCAAAGTCGACTACAGGTACATCGAGCTCCTAAGAAGCTTATATAAATCTGCCACAATGACAGTTGAAATTCAAGGGGCCAGAACAACTTTTCCAATAAGGAGAGGTGTACGTCAGGGTGATGTGATATCTCCAAAACTATTTACGAACGCCCTTGAAGATATTTTCAAAACTGTGGACTGGAAAGATCTGGGTATAAATGTAGACGGAGAGCACTTGAACCACCTCCGTTTCGCTGACGATATCGTTTTACTCAGTGAGTCGCGAGAAGGGCTTGAAAAAATGCTCAAGGATTTGAAAGACGCGTCTCTCCGAGTGGGCCTGAAAATGAATCACGAAAAGACTAAGTGGATGAGCACCACTGACGGTTCGACGATTTCAATAGATGGCGTAACGATCGAATGTGTGAACAATTATACCTACTTAGGCCAAAACATCGTGCTAAGTAAAGACTCGATGGAAAATGAAGTTAACAGACGAATACAGCTAGGTTGAGGAGCCTTCGGAAAACTCGAAGATGTATTCAAGTCCAAAATCCCACAATCACTGAAAACACGCGTCTATAATCAATGCGTTCTCCCAGTAATGACTTATGCTTCTGAGACGTGGACGTTGACTGTCGGGATACTCCACCGCCTGAAAGTAGCGCAAAGGGCAAAGGAACGTGCAATGCTTGGCGTCTCTTTGAGGGGCAGAATACGAAACGAAGACATTCGCCAACGCACCCGAGTTACCGACATAGGTAAACGGGTTGCTCGACTTAAATGGCAATGGGCTGGTCATGTATCTCGAAGAGACGACAACAGGTGGTCGTACAGAACCCTATTTTGGAGACCTCGCACAGGAAGCAGAAGTGCCGGCAGACCACCTGCCCGATGGTCGGACGACATTAAAAAGACGGCTGGGCCGACCTGGACCAGAACAGCCGCATCAAGAACTTCTTGGAGAGTCATGCAAGAGGCATATGTCCAGCAGTGGACCTCATAATGCTGAGAAGAGAAGAAGAGAAGATGGACAAATACCGATTATGCTTAGTAAAATGCTTAAAAAAAATCTGCCATCTTAAAAGTATTCTATTGTGAATTCGGACATATAAACATTTGGCCAATTAATAATTACTATACTTAAAAATATATGCCTTACAAATATTTGTTTGAAGAAGACTATGCCAAAAGGGTATTAAATTTATAAGCTCATCTAATCATATTTAAACCTCATTCTGTCTCTATGATGCATGGAATTATGTTTTTTAACAGAATACAGCCTTAAATTTAATTTAAATATTGATACAAGTGGCCCTAGGTTATGTTGATATAGGTACTTGCATGAAAAACAAAATATTCTTCATTAATATTTTCTTACAGGATTTTGAAGCACTCACACCAAACTTAATGGCTCGTACTATAGAGACAGTGGAAGGTGGAGGCCTCATTATATTCCTCCTGAAAACAATGGATTCGTTACGACAGTTGCACTCTATTACTATGGACGTCCATTCTAGGTGATATGATTTTTAATTAATATAAATATTTAATACAAAAACTTCATAAAAATTCAACCATACCACCCGAATAAGTAAACATTGACTTAACTTAAACCTGGTATTAAAGTGATATGGTTATGACTATTTTATTTGCTTAAGTCCTCTCTTAAGAGTTTGCTATTAAGTGGAATATGTTTAACTTATGTAAAAATAGTATTTTTAGCTATTTATTTATGTATAGCACTATGGGTAATGTTATAATATTTATGTGAATTTAATACTAAAGACATAGTTAGCAGTCTTTCTTGATCCTGCAAGAGCAGGAAGAAGAAGAGCAGAAGAAGTCTTCTGTAATAATAATTGTATGCTTTGTGAGTTTTGATGCAGCTCTGTGGAATATGATAAGGATAAAAGTACTGTCAAATTTCATTTTAAGGAGGATATTCTGGAGTGACGGACTCTGAATCTACTCATCCGTCAAATCAACTATGTCGTCATAGTCCATGGATCAATTTAAATTCTCGTTCGATTCATTTGCGCCAAAAACTCATATCAAAGTGGCGCCAACTGGTGGCCTAAATTTTCCTAAACACCCTCATTCAGAATTAGTTCCATTTTTACTTTTATTGTAATTTGACAAACTAAACCTTACCCTTTTCAGATTTAAAACAGAAGCTCACGATGCAGTTGTGAACAGATTTAACGAAAGGTTTCTACTGTCATTGGCTGATAACTCTCGTTGCTTGATCTTGGATGACACCTTAACTGTCCTGCCAATATCATCCAAAACTGCGCAAGTTGAGCCTGTCGATGTAGTACCAGAGGTAAATCTAAACTTATTGCCTGTGTACCTATTTAGTCATTTAGATATTCAAGTTTTTTATTTTTTTTTCTGTGAGGGTAGGTGTAAAGAAAATTTCGGTTTTAAACTGATCCAGTTTAAATTTTAATATAGTTTTATTAAAATTTAATAATTTTCTAGTAATATTTTCTTTTGATTTAAACATTGAGCAGTTACATGGTTAAAAAATAAAAAAGTCGTCTTTCAAATGTTTAATACTTGTAAAGGTATTCAATTGACATTGTGGGTTACCTACAATTTTAGCGATAAGGCTGTCCATTGTTACACTTGATTTAAATGGCTCTGTATTTATTGTAATGTTTTCTGTGGTGTGTGGTGTACAATAAAGTGTTTTGTATTGTATTGTATTAATTTATCAAATAGTCGAATAATATCAAATATTTACTTTATTTTATAAGCAAGTAAAAAGTATTGTTTTAACTATTTTTATATATTAATAGTATTAACAGATTCTGCAGTCAAGAAATGAGTAGGCCCATTTTTGTTGACTTTGCTATCTCTGCTTACTGGGTACCTAAAGTCGACTTAGATATTTGAGGAGATTATTAAGGTATTATATATTCAGGTAATTGCTGAAAGATTTGAACGACCTACTGTCGAAAAGTTTACTGTTTTAGCATTGACCTAAATAATAATGTCCTTTAATATCTACATTGACTTCTCCTGTTACCTCGTATAGCTTATATACAGGGTTAATTTTAAAACACCAACAACCTCTTAGAGGTGATTCTACCCATCAACAGGAACAACTTTTATTATGGGACCAACTCTTAAATATTTTTATCGATTAGCGGCATGCACTTTTGTATGAAACAGCAGGTTTTTTTCGCGATTTCATCGTTGGTCCCGTAATGAAAGTTGTTCCTGTTGATGGGTAGAATCACCCCCTAAGAGGTTGTTGGTGTTTTAAAATTAACCCTGTATATTTTAATAATCACTATAAAATAATTCGATTCCTCGATTCGCAAGAAATAACTTCATGGTGTTTCCAGCGAGTGAATCCGAAGCTGACGGAATTAGTGTCGTCTCTGTCTGACTCTCCTCCCGCAGGGCCGCTGGTGGCTCTCTGTCGCACTTATGACCAAGCCACCGCATTAGTGGCTCTAATAAATACGCTAGCTGACAAACAAGCGAGGTATGTATGAAATTATATTTATTGATTTATTTAAGGACGACGACCAACGAGATATACACCAACACAAGAGAACAAGATACAAACAACGGCGATAATTAGATGCTATCTTAATTAAAGGTCACCACCGCATGTATTACAAAACAAGGCATTGAACATTATTCTGCATAATCTTAAGTAAAATCAATAAGAAAAAATAATATAAATAAACCACACAATACAAATAAAAAATATTTAATTAACAAATAACTATACCAATGTCCTTCCGTCAATGTCAATGTCCGTCAATTCATATCACAAAATTTTAATTTCTAAAGTTCAAGTGCTTGAACACTACTCAAGCACTTCTTGGTACACAGTCACACGCAGACGAAAACGAAACGAAAAGTCAACATTCAGAGCTCCGTTAAAAAATGCGAAATTAATGCTTATATTACGTAGTGTCGTTTTTTCGACAGGTTTCAAATCGACGTTTATTAATATTACGCATTTGCAGAGAATTTTGAAGTATTACTTACTTAAACTGAATTAATAGAAAATATTTGTAATAATCAAATGCATGATCTGTACCACTAGCACGAACCAATATCGAATTCATATCGTTTGCGAGTCCGAAATGTTATTGTCAAATGTGTACTGATTTTTAGTTCTCGTTACGTACTTTGTGCCGCTGCTGTGCAAGTTTCCATACAAAATTTGACATTGACATTTCAGTTTGCAAACTGTTAGAATTCGATAATGGTTCGTGCTAGGGGTACAGTTATATAGTCACCTCGTTTACCTCGCGCTTCATGTCTGCTTTATTGCTAACAACGCAGAATTACGATATAAAGTCATTGAAATAAATATATATACCTCCTCCTAGAGCGACAAGTAGTCAAAATTTTCGAGCTTGCATTTCGAACTGTCATAACGCTTGGACGGGCGCATTTAAATTAATACCTCAATATACTGTGCATTAATGGTGAATTTTAATGTTTCAATAATGCTTTGTATTGGTTTTGGCTACGCGATCATCCCGCTAAAGCGCCGTGGATAGTTCAATGTACCTTTTGGACAAGTTTCGGTCACGATTTTGTTCGTGATGTTATCTAGATCTAGATATTGTTGATCAGTATATGTATTCTATCTGTTACCCTAGCATTCTATAAGACAACCCTTGCAGTGCCTTCTTTGGGGCTGTTGGAAATATTATTTATTAATTATATTTTAAACTTTGTTGACCAAAATATATAACAATGGTGCAAAAGGTGGACTTAATGCTAAAAGCATTCTCTCCCAGTCAACCTTTGGGAAAAATGAAATACACGAACGGCGTTATTTATTTATAATAATCATTTTAGGCCTCCACATTGCCTCACAGCCGCCAGAGGTCGTGGTAAATCAGCCTGTCTTGGCTTAGCAGTATCCGCAGCCGTAGCTCTAGGGTATATCAACATTTACGTCACGTCACCACACCCGGAAAATCTGATAACGCTCTTCGAATTCGTGCTGAAAGGATTGGATGCATGTTTGTATCAAGAGCATATAGATTACAACATAGTAAGATCGTCCAATCCGGACTTCAAGAAGGCTATAGTCAGGATTAATATAGCAAGGAATTCTAGACAGACAGTGCAGGTAAGACAATTTTTGTTATATAAAAAGACTAGCTGTGACCCGTTGTTCATTAGGGATATTTTCCCGCAGTAAAACGTAGTCTATGTGTTAATGCAGGGTGTCAGCTAACTCCAAACCAAATTTTATTAAATCGCTCCAGCTGTTAAAAGCCGAAGAAGTAACAAACATAGACACTCACACAGTCAAAAACTTTCGCCTTTATAATATTAGTGTGATTGGTAAACATGCATTATTTCTGCCTGCCTTAAAACCCTTTGTTTTTTTTCACGTGGAGTTCAAGACAAAGTTGAACTCTTTCAACTTTGTTGTCTGGCCTCTTTCCTTTTTTTTAACGTCAATCAACTGCTCTCCTCACTGCATTACGTAACGGCCTTGAGAGTATTAGCAAGTTCCGATTTAACAGTTTCAGCAATACTTACTATACAAAATAATAGCTATATTTGTACCAAAAAATATATTAAAAAAGGCATGCATTATTGTATGCTTGATGGTATGTGGTCACTCTGGTGGTGGTATTTCTTTAATTTCATAGTTGCGAAATATTATGAATTAGCTGTGCCCTGCGGTGTTACCCCCGGTTTATTAGGGATATTTTCCCGCAGTAAAATGTAGCCTATGTGTTAATCCAGGGTGTCTGGAGTTTTGGATAACTCCATACCAAATTTTATTAAAATCGTTCCAGCCGTTTAGACGTGAAGAAGTAACAAACATACACACTCGCAAACTTTCGCCTTTATAATATTAGTGTGATATGGGAACCGACAAAAACCCAACAATGTGCCCCGCTACTTCACTGACGGCCAATGTTAATTTACTCCTATTCACATGATGTTCGTGCTTATCATTTACCTGAGCGATTATTTTGTTCTGATATTATAAAGTACGATTATTAATTCGAGTCAGTAAAATGATAAGTGCAACTGTCACTGATACAAAAAAGTGTGATCCGCTACAATAGTGATGTTCGGCAATCAATAGACTTAGGCATTTAGTCATGCTTTATTTTATTAGGTATCAAGGAGTTTTCTTTTATTGTAAATATGTAATACATACCCTTTGAAATAATATGATTTTAGAATTATGGACCTTACCAGCATATTAAAATTGCTCACTACACATTATTACAAAAGCTGGAAAAAAAGGTTTAAAGAGGTTCAGAGGAATTAAGTAAAACCATACAAGTCATTTTATACGTTTTTATTCATTATAGTTGATATTGATTTCGACTCCGATTCTGAATCGTAGTTTTTTTTTTATAATTACATAATTAATTTATGCATCCTTTCTATCCCCCAGTACATAACCCCCGACGACCACTCGTTGCTGTCGGCGGCGGACCTCGTGCTAGTAGATGAAGCGGCTGCCATCCCCCTAGCGCACGTATCGGCGGCGGCTCAACGCGCGCCCCTCGCCTTACTGTCCTCCACAGTGTCCGGGTACGAGGGCACGGGCCGAGCGCTATCCTTGAAGTTGTTCGCTCAGCTGCAGAGCAAGCACAACGCGCCGATGCCGGTCAGATATTACTCTTACTCTTCCTATACACTTGTGTCTCCCATCCACCTATTGCTACTTCAAATCCAAAAATGATGATTGTTAGAAATGGTTTTTAGATGAAGAATGAAGCAAATTAATAAGAATGTGTCTCCCATCCACGCGTGTCTCCCGTCCACTCGTGTCTCCCATCCACGCGTGTCTCCTATCCACTCAAACTCAAACTCAAATCATTTATTGCAACCATAATGTGTACAGTGGGTGGTAGGTACTTATATAAATATGAGCATTATGGACCCCGTCGGGCACGCAATTGGTTATTAGAAGAGAGGATACGCTTCTCAGAAGACCAACACTAATAGTAAAATTATAATTGAATGTTAGAGATTGTTTCATAATATGTTTATTTTTGATTATTATAATTGGATTGGATCTGATTTAATTATAAATAATAATATTAATAATTTCACAAAAATAAATATAATAAATAATTAAATAAATTATGTGTGCATGTACATTAATAATTACCGATCTTATCATTAAAATATTCATTTACATTATAATAACATTTGTTAATTAGAAATTCCTTTAATTTATTTTTAAATGTCAAGTAATTATTTTCTTTCATTATTGTATTGGGCAATTTGTTATAAATTTTAATTGATGAATAAAATGTGCTTGATGATGATAGTTTTAGCCTGGAATTAGGCAATATTAATTTATTGTTGTGTCGAGATGTGTATCTAGATGGAATGTCTTGTCGTCTAGTGTAGAATTCGCTATGTTTGCGCACAAACTTGCACATTTCCAAAATATACAAACACTGTTATCTCCCATCCACATATGTCTTTCGTCCACTTATGTCTTTCATCCACTCATGTCTCCCATTCACGCGTGTCTCCCATCCACTCATTTCTCCCACTCATGTCGCTTACTCTTCCCATTATACCATATTTACCATTGTCCAACGTTTCCAGCTGTCTCACGTTTCCCATTGATCTGTGTATCCCACTGTCAACAAGGAAACGTTTGTATGAAGATTGTTGTTTGAAATCAAACAAAGATATAGTCAGGTTTAAATATGATAAACTTTAATTATATATAAGAACTTTAGCCTGAATACCACGTGGTCTAGATATAGCTAGAAGAGGCGTGGTTAAACTTCCTCTGTGGCTGGAGGACATGCTTATTTATTTGCTACCTCGCCCATATTTTGTAATCCAAGTGAGATCGAAACTCCTTGAAATCTCTATACAATAGACGCGTGTGCAGACTTTTGACATCCATACTCTTTCATGGTTGATTGTGTATCTATTTGTTTCTATACGCCAATGGATACTATCCCTCCTAGCATGCGCACCGCGATATGATGTATAGCAGGTTTATATTACGCTCAATTATCAAATTACTATGAAGTTTATTATACGCGATTAAAAACGTGATATAATGTAAAGTGCTCATGCTTCGGATAAATACCTTGTTTCGATAAAGTAAGAAGAGCTATAGTTCATTCGCGTTAAGAAAATAGTGACTCATCACCGACTGCCGGCCAAGCCACGCCCCCTAGCCAATTAAAACGCTAGAAATTAGTAAGGCGAGTTCACAGTGCTCAGTTGAAGTCAGACCTTCGAACTGATCGGTTGTGTATTTTGCGTACTACTTGTTTAAAATTAAATTTGGAAAATGGATATCTCACCTATTAAAAAAAATAAAAGTGGATCAATTATACATAGCGGAGAGAGACGCGTAATTTACAATGTTTATAAATATTTCAAACAGATTGATTTAAATGAGACTGTGGAGAGCATAGTAATTAAAACTGCAAGTGCATGCGGTGTGTCCGAAAACACTGTTTATAAAATTATAAAAGAACAAAAAGAAACGAATACATTGAAATCACCTGTGAAAAAAAGAGCTCGACTATCCACGGTCGATAAATTAGATGAACTAGACAAATGTGCAATAAGGAGAAAAGTACACTCTATATATTTAAATAACGAGTATCCAACATTGGACAAAATAATAACACTTTGCGAAGCTGATGAAGATATTCCTGTTTTCAAACGTACAACACTTCACAAAATACTGCACGAGCTTGGTTTTGACTTCAATAAACAAGATAGTAGAAAATTGTTAGTGGAAAGAGAAGATATTGTTTTATGGAGGCGAAAATATTTAAGACAAATAAAAGAATATAGAAACGCTAATAAAACCATTTACTATCTCGACGAAACGTGGGTAAACGCCGGACACGTAAAAACAAAAGTGTGGTTGGATACAACAATCAAGAATAAAAGACAAGCTTTCCAAGATGGCTTATCAACCGGCCCAAAAGCTCCGACAGGGAAAGGGAAAAGGTTAATTATATTGCACATTGGCAGCGAAAAAGGATTCCTGGAAGATGGTTTACTAGTCTTTGAATCTAAATCTACAAAAGATTATCATGAAGAAATGGATGGTGAAAGATTCCTTAATTGGTTCAATGGTATAATACCGAAGCTTGAACCAGGAAGTGTGGTTGTCATGGATAACGCTCCCTACCATTCGGTAAAAGTTGAAAAAATACCCACGGCCAGTTGGAATAAGCAGCAAATACTAGAGTGGTTGCAAAACAAAGACATATCTATGGATATGAGTTATTTGAAAAAAGAATTATTATTGAAAGTCGCCGAAATCGCCCCACAATATAATAAATATTTAGTAGATGAGACTGCTAAAAACAATGGCATTACAATTCTTCGTCTGCCGCCTTACCATTGTAAATTAAATCCGATTGAAATGGTGTGGGCCCAAATAAAAAATTATATTGCTGCGAATAATACTACATTCAAAATGAGTGACGTAAAAAAAAAATTTTATGACGCAATCGCGTTAGTAGACGCCAATCGGTGGAAGAAATGCTGCGACCACGTGATACGCGAAGAAAATACCATGTGGGGTTTGGATGACGTCATGGAACATGCAGAACAAAATTCATTCGTAATAAATGTAACGGGAGAATCTAGCGATACTGATTAGCGATTTAAGTACTTAGTTTTAAGACAATTTTGTATTTTTTTATTTTAGTACTTATTACGATTAATCCAAATATGTGTTACTCTACTAATATAGCGTTTAAGTTGACATTAAAAATTACCTTAATAGGAATATTTTAACATGTTTAAAATCATTGATACTTTATTATTTTTCTATTAAACTTATTTAATGTTTTGAAAAAAAATGTTTAATTTTTTCTCCATTATGAATACACCCTTACCCTGCAGTTGCACTGATGAGTCACTATTTTCTTAACGCGAATGAACTATAGCCGTATTCTAACACCATCGCGCTTTTGCAAACATTATAAAGTAGATTGACTTTAGTTGCCGCCCCCCTCGGTGGGTTCGGGCGCTGTGCCCCCCGCTCAAATATATGTTTCTATACATTATAAATCAAGGTTCCCAAACGAGAGCCTTGGGGCACACCGCACTGACCACATTTCTCATTGTCCCATTTTCCCACTGACTCTTTTGTACTGTTGTCCCCTCCTTCACGTTATCCCATATTTCCCCACTGTCCTATCTATCCCACTGTTCCCATTTTTCCATACTTCTCACCAATGTTTTGTATTCAACCCGCGATCGAATGTCGATTGCTTGAAACCTTGTCGTGTGCAGACTTTTGCATCCATTATTCTTTCAGCGTTATTGTGTATCTACTTGATCCTATACGTCAATGGCCACCACACCTTGTTTAGATTAAACTCGAGGAGCCCATCCGCTACCGCACCGGGGACCCCGTGGAGTCGTGGCTGAACTCCCTCCTGTGCCTGGAGGCGCCGGCCCCCTCGGTGGGCGCGGGCGCTCCGCCCCCAGCCTCGTGTGACTTGTTCCGCGTCAACAGGGACGCCTTGTTCTGCTACCATCGCGCTGCCGAAGCTTTCCTGCATCGTCTCGTCGCTATATACGTCGCTAGCCATTATAAGGTAAGTCTGTCTCATGATTGGGACAGATTGAAGAGGATGTATGAAAGAAGACAGAGAGATATTAGAGGACTTTATTAGTAAACTAGCGGCCCGCCCTCGCTTCGCTTCGGTGTAGAGCTGAAGTGTAGACTACAGTTTTTGTTCTCAGGCTTGTATTATACACAATGACATTCATCTATGATTCTTCTTATATCTGCATGCAAAGTCTCAGCCCGATCGGTTTAAAATTGACAAAGTTTCATAGAAACTTTCATTTCCTATTTTATCCCCTTGGGGGTAGAATTGATCAAAATCCTTTCTTAGCGGATGCCGTTGCGTGTGCGTTGATAGATCACTATGTCAGTCAGTCAGTCACCTTTGTGTTTTATATATATAGAAGATAGATTTATGGTTGAACTGGCTGGTTTTGACACTTATAACTTGTGTCATTGAAGAATGGAATCGAAAACGCCAACGCAAGACATTCTGTCTCTCTCTTACGTTTCTCAAGATTAAAGATTAAGATTGTTTTTTATTGTTTTGTTTTAAAACATAATACTAAGTAAGGTATTTCTCTCTTTTTCTTATAATACTATGTTGTAGATTTACTGGCTATGCATGTATTTTAAGAAATAATAAAGATTATTATTATTATTAAAAAAAGAGTAGAATTTCGATCGTAGCTGAGGGTTATAGATTAGAATATTGAATGTACTAACTAGACGATAGGGTATTTGACAGTATGAAAAATAAAGTACCAATTTTGGCATTTATTTTGAACGTGAATATTAGGAGCGATTTCACTTCTGTTACAAAAAAAGTAGTTTATAATGTCACAAAAAAATCATGAAATATTTGTTTTATCTATTGTCACGTGATCGAAAACGCCTAAGATTAGTGCAGCCTAAAGTCACCTACTTCTAAATCATCCTCACGAAGTGACATTACTTTTTAGTGTTTGTCGTTTAAACGAGAGCCGTGTAACGTCACCTGCCTGTAAATACTAAAGAAACGTTTCCGCGGTATACATGAACACAAAATGTTTATTTTCGTTTTTTTACTGATATACACAACAGAATAGGGTATTTGACAAGTTTTAGAAAACAATCTCACTTTATTCACTAATGTTTATAGAGTCCAATAAAAGTGGATATTCATCAATTATTGTGTATTTCGGTAAAAAAACGAATTCAAAACTCTATTTTCAAGTTGCCGCGGAAAACGTATCTCTGGACAATATGGCGGCTCACTGGTATGTGACGTCACACGACTGTCATTAAAATGTCAAACCATACAATCAAATGTCACTTTAACCGGAAGTTTACTTGCGTGTGACGTCATTTTAGGCTCCACCAATCCAAAGCGTTTTGGGTCACGTGACAATAGAGAAGAAAACTATTAACATTATCGTGGGTTTTTAGTAAAATTATGAATATTTTTTCTGTAAAAATAGTAAAAACACCTGCCTATATTCATTCTAAATACAGATGCTAACAATTGGCACTTTATTTTTAATACTGTCAAATAGCCTATTATAAATGTCCACTTTTTATGGAGTCACAGTCAGTTTTAAAAAAATTGTCAAATAGCCTATTTTATTTTTTTCTTTAGATTCTCAGATAGATTTAAATTGTTCACAACGTTAATTTGTCCACCAGAACAGCCCCAACGACCTGCAACTGTTGGCCGATGCGCCCGCCCACTGTTTGTTCGTACTGCTGGCGCCTACGCCGCCCAACTCCACTTCCATGCCGGAGGTTCTGTGCGTCATACAGATGTGTCTGGAAGGAAACATATCTGAGAAGTGAGTTACGAGTGTCTACCGTTTAGGCTGGGTGCATATGTTATACGGTTTCCTGATCAGGGGGGTAATTGCCTAACAGGATAGCTATGGCTATCGCTATCGCTTTCGATTTTGTTTTGTTATTTCTGATTTTCTAAGGTTTTCCATTACCTGATGCTTAATTTATTTTAATATTGTTATTACTAATGCAAAAGAAAAAACAGATCGCGAGGCATTTGAAAACCTCCGGCGGTCAGAAATAACAAAATAAAATAACAGACACACAAAATACTTCTGGTTTTAAAATATTCACAAGGATTAATTTTTTCTACGGATTACTCTTTTCTATACCTACATTTAAATTTTACACTTGTAGCAACTTCGTTTATTATTTTGATTTTAAAAGAGTGGAAATAAATTTTTGGCCCGCCTGATAATCGACTACCATAGTTCTAGAATCTTACTCACCGACAGAAACACAACTCAACTCAACAACAGAAATTCGGGCGCTCCAATTCAAGCGGGGAATCCGCTATGCCTCAAACATACGTCAATTGTTTCGATTTCCGACATAGGAGAATTCACTTGTCGAGAGGTCAATATCCGTGGGGCCGGCGTCCGTGGGGATGTCTCGACTTACGTCGTTTCGATTTACGTCGCGTATGTCGAGAACCCAACATGCCGTAAGTACGAGGTCTGCCTATATTCATTATTGATTTTATTTTCACCTGTCAAGGTCTGTCAAAGACAGCCTCGGTCGCGGTAGAAAAGCGGCCGGCGACCTGATACCGTGGAACATCTGCGAGCAATATGGTGACAAAGACTTCCCCAAGTTATCGGGAGCAAGAATCGTTAGGATAGCCACACATCCCTCCTATCAGCGGGTAAGAATAAAACAAATACACTTTTGGCCAGCCTAAATAATCAATCTTCAGTTAATTTGCCTTGCCAAGATGTTTGATTCATCATCATAATCAGCCTGTTGATGTCCCCACTGCTGGAGCACAGGCGTTTCCAATGGATGGAATAGGGAGATTTGGCTATTTCCCACCACGTGGCCCCAGTACGGATTGGTGGGTGCTCACTGCAGCTGCAGCCAGGACCAACGACTTAACGTGCCTTCCGAAGAATGGAGGAGCTCTAGATAATAAGTTTATGAGTCACCCATCCAATAACCGACCATTTCGAAAGTTGCTTAACTTCCACGAACGCAGGCCGAACGTGCTGAGCATCTGCGCCATCGGGCTCCTCGAGATATTTAAGTAGATTAAATTAACAATCGTTGCTAAGAAATATAAACAAATTTACAATAGGGAATATGCATGTTTTGTTTTATTAGAAGCTTACATCTCCTTTATACAGTATTAAAAAAAACTAGCAAACCAGTGAACCAAAGATTCACCAAAACCTGATTTAAAAAAATGTATTTAATTAATTGAGAACTTCGGATATTTTGTGTGGTTTCGTTTGAAATAGAAATCACGTCATTTCTCGAAAACCGGAAGTGCTACGTTACTCAAATCCGGTATGTAGTCTTATCAGACTATTCTTAACTTATAACTTAAATATTCTCTTTATCTATCTCTTACGGTTTGGCCGCTGAAACAGCACCACAGACAGACGGACGGACTTGTCTAATAGATAAGAGATACGTCGAAAAAATTGTATAAAGTGATTAAAGAATGTTAAAAATAGACACTTTGCACGGGCAGTGTAAACGCGCGCTATTTGCGACCGCTTGGGTGTGACGTCACGTCACGATACATCTAAACCTACAAACAAGATCAGTGACCTTCAAGATAGTGACATTTTACGTTCCATATCATGGAGGTTAGAGAGAAGGAGAACGATCGCTGTAGAATATGGAGAAATATAGACAAAATAAGTGATGCGCTGCGATCCTAAGTTGTCTCAATAAAAGCGGGCTGTTGTGCGCTAATTTGACCAGAAGAAAATTTGTACATTATTCAACTAACTTCATATACTTGTACTCATAAACAGCTAACTTCACAGATACCATTTACCGACATTGTTTGGTACATTTTTGGTAAAATTTTAAATGTCATAGTGAAAAGTTGCATTCGGTGTCTAGGTGGAACCATAGAGGTATAACAATAGAGTGAGGAAGGCGGCTCTAAATGTGTCCGTCTAGTAGAAAGAGAAGGAAGATGAGGGACCGCTAGCTATCTCTCTCCCTTGTGACGCATGCGCAGTCGTCTGTCCAATAGTTGGTCCAAACATCACATCGAAATAGTAAGATGCTTACGGTTGCCAATGCGCATGCGCGATTAGAAGGAGAAAGCTAGCGGTCCCTCATCTTCTTTCTCTTACTATTAGAGGGACACCTCTAATAGAAAGGGAAAGAAGATGAGAGACCGCTAGCTTTCTCTCTCTAATCGCGGGAGATATAGACTCTACTACAAGTGGAAGTGTCTTCTTTGTGACTTGTAGTAGAGTCTATATCTCCCCTACTCTATTCTTATACCTCTATGGGTGGAACGCGGCTTTGACATCTACGCACTCGCACTATAATCTCCTTGACATTGGCATATCCTGTGAACATCACGTTTGTTATATTTTTACATCACAACCGCTCTTGTCGCGTTTTAAAATATTTGAATTTCCCACAAGTTTTTCACTTTTTATATCATAAATTCCTTACACGAAAAGATTTTTTGTTAACCAATATTGATGGAGGGAAGACTCAAAAGTAATATAGTTTATAAAAAAATAAAATGAGGCTTATTTGAATTACATGCATATTCCCTAGATGCCTATCTTTGACTGAAAATTATTGATGGCTTGATAGGGCTTTATTAAAAATTGCCTACCAATCAAGACGAATCATATTGACAATTTTTACACTCGAATACGTGATTGCGTTTAGGACATTTTCATTGAAACGATTTATTATTATATTAATATGTTTCAAAGATACTTGAATTTGACCTTTATCAACGCAGTAGATAATAATTTAGATACAATTTGAATAATGGTTTGAAATTAATTTTAAACTATCTGAGAGCTGCGAGTAAAAGAAACTCTTAGAATTCTTGAAATTAAGAAAAACTTTGATAAAACGATATCACTAATAGTTTTTCTAATGTTATCTTTAACGCTTTCTTTATCACAACATTGATAAAAAAATACAAGGACGGAAATCCGCGTCATAAGAGATGAGTTGGCATTGGCCGGAGCAACGAGAAAGGGGGCTGTCATTGGCTGGAAAAATGACAGCAATACAATCCGGCCAATGACAGAGAAGCAACAAGCTAATGATGCATGATCTCGCCCACACAGATGGGTTACGGTAAACGCGCGTTGCAACAATTGGCCTCATACTATGGCGGGGATATTCCTTGCCTCGACGAGGCTGCTTCTGATGATGAAGAGACGTCAGCGAACGGACAGAAAGGCAATCTACACACAGAGACTATAGTACCCAGGTATATGAACATATTTATTTTATGATTATAGTGGCTTTTTTGATTATATAAAAAGGGTAAAATAAAGAAGGTCATTCAAAAGTGGAACTGTAGTCGGTTTTCAGCAGTGATGTAACATATAAAATTAGAAAGCTTGTTTTATGTTATGACATATGTTTTTGCTATAGAGCGTTGAGTTAGCTAAGTGGGCCGATCGATAATAATAATATTCTTTATTGTAATACACCATAGAAAACACACACATAAATTAAAACATGATAGATAGAACGTACACAATATAGGCGGCCTCATTGCTAGGCAGCATTCTCTTCCAGGCAACCCATAATAAAAACATAAATAAATATGAAGGAGATAAGGAGGGGTGTTATAGAAAAACATAATGATATCAATGGCAGGAAAAATAGATATATCTAAGGAAGAAAAGAGAGGATGAAGTAAAAATTTAACATAATTGTTGGTATAGGAAATAACTCCGATATGATGATGTGACGGAAGTATCGTTAACGCTATGATTTACATACATGACTAAATCATCATATCAGCCGTACGACGCCCGCTGCTGGACATAGGCCTCCCCCAAGGATCTCCACAACGATCGGTCCTGCGCTGCCCGCATCCAGCGTTTTCCCGCGACCTTCACCAGATCGTCGGTCCACCTTGTAGCGGGTCTTCCCACTGAGCGTCGTCCGGCACGCGGTCGCCATTCGAGAACCTTTCCGCCCCAACGGCCATCGGTTCTCCTCGCCATGTGTCCCGCCCACTGCCACTTCAGCTGGGCTATTCTTCGAGCTATGTCGGTGACTTTAGTTCTCCTACGGATCTCGTCATTTCTGACTTGATTACGCAGGGAAACACCAAGCATAGCTCTCTCCATTGCCCGCTGGGCGACCTTGAGCCGTCCTATGAGACCCATAGTAAACGACCACGCCTCACTGCCATAGGTCATCAATGGCAACACACACTGGTTAAAGACTTTCGTCTTAAGGCACTGAGGTATTTTGGACGCGAAGATGTTCCGCAGCTTCCCGAACGCTGCCCTCTAACTCGGATGAGTTGGATTCGACGAGAGATCTCTTTCTCGAAGTTGGACTTACCTAACTGGATTGTGTGTCCTAGGTAAAAGTAGTGGTCAACAACTTCAAGTGTAACGTTCCCAACATTAACTGGAGCGGGTGCAACATGGGCGTTGGACATGATTTTCGTCTTGTCCATGTTCATCTTAAGACCCACTCGCTGGGATGCGTCACTGAGATGCTCGAGCATGGTGTTCAGGTCTTCCAAGGTCTCCGCTATTAGAACTACGTCATCGGCAAATCGAAGGTGTGTCAGGTACTCGCCGTTGATGTTAATGCCGAGTCCTTTCCAGTCCAGAAGCTTAAAAATATCCTCCATCGCAGCAGTGAACAGTTTCGGAGATATAACGTCTCCCTGTCTCAGCCCTCGCTGTAGTTGGATAGGATTAGAGCTCTGATTCTGTACTCGGACCGACATAGTGTCGTTTTGGTATAGGTACTTTAACACTTCAATATACCTATAGTCCACTTGGCACCTCTGGAGAGACTGCAACACCGCCCAGGACTCGATCGATTCGAAGGCCTTCTCATAGTCCACAAACGCTAAGCAAAGTGGCCGATTATACTCTTCGGTTTTCTGTATAATCTGCCGCAGCGTATGGATGTGGTCTATGGTACTAAAGCCTTTTCGGAAACCGGCTTGTTCGGGAGGCTGGAAGTCGTCGAGCCTGCGAGCGAGACGATTCGTAATGACCCTCGAAAACAGATTGTAGATATGGCTCAGAAGCGAGATGGGTCTGTAGTTCTTCAGTAGGGTCTTATCGCCCTTTTTGAAGAACAAAATCACCTCGCTTCTGCTCCATGCCTTCGGCGTTTTGCCTTGGTGGATGATGGAGTTGAAGAGCTTCTGGAGGACTTTAAGTACCAGCGTACCGCCCGCTCTCAGAAGCTCTGTTGTGATTCCGTCATCTCCCGCCGCCTTGTTTTTAATCTGTTTGAGGGCAATTCTAATCTCGTACAGGTTGGCGTCCGGGATATCCTCGGTATAATGTCGGGTAAGCTTGGCTCTAGGATCTCGAGCTTTGCTTTCAACTGGTGTTCTGCTGGAATATAACTGCCTATAGGGACTCTCAATCTCCCTCAGGATTTCAGGAGTCGATGAAATGATACTACCGTCCTCAGTTTTCAGCCTCGTCAGTTGACTTTGCCCAATAGACAGATCTCTAGCGAACACTTTGGAGCCTTTGTTTCGCTCTATGGCCTCTTTAATACGCTCGGTATTAAAGTGGCGAAGGTCGCTCGTCAAGGACTTCGAGATCTGTCTATTAAGCTGTCTATAACGAAGGGCATCCGCTGAGTCCTGTAGTCTCATTTCATGTCTCCTATCCATGAGTTCGAGTGTATATGCGGAGAGTTTCTTTAATTTGGTACGGCGGGTTTTAAAGTGTTTAGACCCTACCGTACGGACAGTATCCACCACCAGGTCGTTCAGATCGTCCACGTCTATGCTGTTCTCAAGGTACTCGAAGCGGTTCTGGAGCTCGAGCTGAAAGCGCTCGGGGTTTTGAATTTGGGCTGGCACCGGTCGGAGCGTTGATTTTATCAGTCGCGATCTTTCAAGCTTAACGTTGATATTCAATGTGCCTCTTACCATGCGGTGATCGCTTCCTGTCTTAACAGCGTTGATCACTGAGACATCATTGAATTTTGCTTCTTCGTCGACATGATAAAATCAATCTCATTTTTGACCTTGCCGTCGGGACTTATCCAGGTCCATTTGTGGGTGACGGGCTTTCTGAAGAAGGAGTTCATCATATAAAGGTTCTCCCTCTCCATGAAGTCTTCCAGCATCCGGCCCCTGTCGTTCCGTTCCCCAAATCCAAATTGCCCCGCTCTCAGCTCGTCGCCGCAACGTTTCCCCAATTTTGCATTGAAATCCCCCATCACAGTCGTGTAGTGGGTTTTGTGGCTATGCATGGCCCGAGAGATCTCCTCATACATAGCCTCCACTTCGTCATCGGTGTGTTTCGAGGTTGGAGCGTAGACTTGGATGACAGTCATCGAATATCGTGATGATATTCTGAGTACCAAGTACGCTACTCTACTCGAAACACTACCGATGGTCAGCACGTTGTTGTCGAGGGACTTGTGGACGATAAACCCGACACCACCTACGGACTGTTGGTCGCCCTCCCGGAAGTACAGCAAATTACCGGAGTCCAGAGTTATCGTGTCCTCTCCCTCTCTTCGGACTTCAGATAACCCGATGACGTCCCAGTGTGACTTGCTGATAGCTTCTTCCAGCTCTGTCATCTTGGCATCGGTCCTCAGTGTGCGCATGTTGTAGGTTATCAGGGCCAGTATTCGGTTGTTGTGGTAGCCGTGCCCTACCCGGGGATTCTTCGCACCCCCTTCCCCGCCGTTACCGTGGCCGCTACCGTAGCCAGGAATAGCGGGGCCGCCGGGGACTAGGGGCCGTTTCGAGTTGTTTCGCTTCATATGGGGGGGGGGGGGGGGGGTTGCCATAATCGCCACGCTTGACAGGCGGGTTGGCGATCGCAGGATACCGGTTTGCATAAGGAGATGCTGCTGCCCATCTCCTTAGGTGAAGTTTCCCTTAGTCGCCTCTTACAACACCCACGGGATGAGAGCGGGTAGTGCTATTCTATTCTAGGCCGGCACTACACGGCTAACATGACTAAATAGAGCAATTCAAATGGAGCACGCAAAGAAAAAGGCTCATGTTACGCTAATTTCAGATTGTTTGAAAGCAGTCAATCTGTGCATGTCTGGCGACGAGCGTATCTACCATATGTAGTAGATATTTTTGGGGTGCTCCCGTGCAGAAGGTATTTAGGCGTGTATGTAATCTAAGAGTTAACGACATCTCGTTATGTACACGTGACATACAACAGACAAAAACTCTCATATTTGTAATATAAGTTTACATAGCATCACGAGATTTAATTATTTCACAGATCTAAACCGCCCACTTTACTGAAACGCTTGACAGAAGTGAGGGCAGAACATTTGGACTACCTCGGCACTAGCTTCGGTCTTACAGAAGAACTGCTCAAATTCTGGAAATCGCAGAAATATGTTCCCGTTTACATAAGGTGAGTGGAAACAAATACAGTCTAGATTACACTGTGCAACCGGTTAAGAAAACGAGTGTGCTTATGACCACACGACTAAAGTGAAACTTCTTTAGCTCCATCTGCATGTATATATATATGTATGTGTGTACAATATATACATGTATGTACATATACATATTTCGTTTACTAGCTATAAGAGAAAGAGAGAAAGAAAATGTGCGCGCGCTCTGCTTTCTCTTGCTTATATCCCCCACTCAACTCCCGTTCGACTCGCCCGAACACATTTTTCGTAACGCGTAACGCATTCGCCAGCTTACCTCCCAAGTCAAGTCAAGCGTGCGCAAAGAAGTTTTACTTCAAAACTGGCCAAGCGTGAGTCTAGCCTCGCTCTGTTAGGGTTCAGTAAAATCATTTCTTTGTTTTATTCACAAGTTACAAAGTACATTATGAATAGGCGTTTTCAGTATTTGTTGTTTAAATACAGCATAACATGGGACTTCAAAGGTATACCAAAATTTCACATTCGTAACTAGTATCGATTTTGAGTTAGACCCCTGCAACAAAAATGATCTAAAAATTTCAACTTTGACGGGCTTTCTTTGTTATTGAAAATTAAAAATAATCAAATTTGTATATATAATAACCTAATCAATGAGCTAGACACTGATGTGTCACATGCTGGGGTCTCGTCTTGGCTCAATGTTTATAGTGCTGACTTCAGACGTCTCTATTTGCTCCTATATATAAACTCTTCTTATAATTCTTCATACTTTTCTATTTATGTTTTGTAGACTATAGAATTTCCCCTCTTTTCTCTCTATAGTCAAAAACGAACGAGCTGACAAGCGAACATTCCTGCATAATGCTTCGTTCACTCCACTAACACTCCTCTTGGTTGAGTATTTACAGCGCTGAATTCAGACGTCGTAAGACGAAGAAGATGTCTATTTCTTTTTGTGTTGTGCAATCTATAACATTCTATTTCCCTCACTCTTTCCTTCTCCCTCTTTTCTCTCCCTTATCTATGTCTTTTTCTATTTGTGTTGTGTAGACTATAATAACATTTTCAAAATTTTCTCCCTCTCTTTTGCAATCGACAGTTGCGCTTGCATTTCAGACTTCAATCGTCGCTGGGCGCTCCTACATAACTATAAAACCTTTAGTAATACTTCCTTTTCCTCCCTTTCTTTAGTCAAAAAACGAACGAGCTGTCAGGCGAACATTCCTGCATAACGCTTCTTTCGATCCACCAACACTCTTCTTGGCTCAGTGCTTATAAGCTGACTTCAGACATTGACTGGCGCGACTTTACCTATATATTCTTTGTCTGTTTCTCTATAGTCAAAAAACGAACGAGCTGACAGGCGAACACTCCTGCATAATGCTTCTTTCGATCCACCAACACTCTTCTTGGCTCAGTGCTTATAAGCTGACTTCAGACATTGACTGGCGCGACTTTACCTATATATTCTTTGTCTGTTTCTCTATAGTCAAAAAACAAACGAGCTGACAGGCGAACATTCCTGCATAATGCTTCGTTCGCTCCACCAACACTCTTCTTGGCTCAGTGCTTATAGTGCTGACTTCAGACGTCGTCTTTCGAGATTATTGGGCAGAGCGTTGAGGCATTTACCGGCCCCTTTAGCGCTATCTACTTTAGTGATCGACGCTTCTACAGATCGACCACGTGAGTAGAAAGGCTATTAAAGTATGACGGTCTTACTACAAAAAAGTTAGGTTTGAAAAACCTTGCTTAGGATTTTTTTCTGTAATTTTTCCTAAACCTTTGTTGATCGCATGTCTAACCTTTTTGTGGTAATAAGGGTTTTTAATTTGTAGTGAGAGCGTTAAGCAGGAATTTGACAAAAAAATCTGTAGAAAATTGCAAAAATCATGGGTCAAAAATAGTCACTAACTTTGGTGTCTTTTGTGGTTACCTTTGGTTTTATTACAAAGATTAGTAGCCAAATGGTAAATGCGGAAAGTGTACCACAAATTAAAGTTGACTACTGTTTTGGATGAATTACTTTCCATTATTGATTTATATTAAGAGTTAGCTGTTTTTATTCTGTTTTCCCAAGTTCATATACACACGGCGGCGTCAAAAAAATCGCACCTCCGCCAAAATAACTTCCAAGCATTATTAACACTTAACACGCGCATGTACCCCCACCAATATTGGTGTCATTTAAAAGCCCATTTAATAAACTTAAAAAAAAATATTTCATTAAAAAAAGGTTAATACAGTGGCGGGTTTACCAGTAGGCTGAGTAGGCTGGGCGGCAGATTTTTGGGGGCGGCAAATTTGGCCCAATTTTTTTTTATCTTACAGAAATCAAAAAAAACATTATTATATTATACACAAAGAAACGAGTGACAAAATTTTTAATATTTTAGTAATGCACAGTATACTGAACACTTACGTCCGTATTCCGTATATAAAAGATAACTAAACGCACTGTAAAATATAGGTACTTATGCGATCATGATTTTTTTTAAATATTTCAATAGTGTTTCAATATTAAATTTAAATTTAGTAACTTTTACCCATTTTTAAAGGGTACTACTTTTAACTAATAAATATGATATTTAACGTGTAATACGTTTCAACATTTAAATATTTATTTTCTACTAAGTACGTATGTATTTGTGTAGTCGTTTTTGGGTTGCGGCGCGAGAACGAATGTCTTGACCGTTCGCTAAGAGTGTCTGTTAGTGTTGTTAGTGGCAACTGCGGCTGCTGAATCGTGTACAGAAGCTTGTCGCTTTTTCATGATACTACAGGAAATATACGTTTTTTTTTGTAAGCTCGACACAACGCTGGCTTGAATTAATGAGTGTAATCGGGAAAATGAAAACCCTGAAAAGAGGTCTGACACGTCGGTCAGCGAGAGAGGACGCGTATAAAAGTTTGAGAGATACTTGGCACGAAGTTCTTAAGGCTTTGAAATCAATTAAAGACCGAAAAGCCTGTAATGCGTCAAGAAGCGGCGGGAATACTTTTGAAATTGGAGAAACCGGAAACAGCGGCAATGGTTGTTGTGTGAAATGTTTTTTGGAACGAATAAACAAAGTGAATGTACCAATTCAGGCTTCCACCGTAGATTTGATCACCGTTACCGATCTTTACGAATCACTCCGTAAGTTTTTCGTAGCTGAACGAGAGAATTTCAAGTACATATTTCGAAGAAAAGGTGATGGAATTAAGCGTATCGAAGCAATATACAACAGAGATCGGAAAAAGACAACGGATAACAAAAAAAAGATTTGATGTAACATCTGAAGAAGTTATTACAATGTCTGCGAGTGAAACTTTCAGGGTTAACACGTTTCTCGTCCTTATAGATAGACTCGTGTCCGAGTTAGAAAAAGGGCAAAAGGCCTATAACGTATTTAACGAGAAGTTTTGATTTCTAACCAAAATGAGTGAGTTGTTACCATCGACCCTGACGAAAAAAGCCATTTCGTTGAAAATTCCCTAATGATTTAGTAACTGATTTAGTTCAGGAATGCGTACACATTTAATGATACCTTTCTTCTCAAAGAATTTTGATAAAACCAGATTCTGGATCATTCAAAAGTCTATCTATGTTCCTGCGGAAACAGAATTTGGAGAACATTTATTCAAACTTGGATATAGCACTTCGCATGGCTCTGTGTACACTAGTGACAAACTGTTCAGGTGAGAGAGGCTTTTCTTGCTTAAAGCAGATAAAAAAACTATTTACGATCTACTTTAAGTCAAGAAAATATTAACGCCTTATCTCTTTAGTGCATAGAGTCAGAACTAATGAACAAGATTTTATATGACGATATAATTAATGATTTTGCGAATTTAAAATCTCGCAAAAAGATAATGTAAAACTTAATTGATTTCATTGTCACCATTAACCGGATTGTTAATAGATTATTTAATAGAAATTGTTCGTATTGTTTTTAAACTGTTAGTGCATAAAAAATATTTAACAAAAACAACGTTTACCGACTAAACATTATTTTGTATAAGCTGTGTTCATATGGTGTAAGTATTTTTAAGTAATAGGTATGACTTAAAAATACTTTGGGGATGTGGGGATAGGTTATCCCCACATCCCCCCCTTATAATTACTACATGCTGCTCTGTTTAGGTCAACAGTATACTCTTCACTAAATCGTGGGTTGCAAAAATAATCTAGAAACTGACACAACTATCCCCTAGTTCACAATCATACTAATAACGGGAAAAAGCCGACGTAATGAGGACGATAGAACACAAATCATAAAGTTGCAATTACAGAATAAATATGATTGTGAACTAAACAAGCGTATTGAATTTCAAGGGTCAGTAGTGGCGGCAAAAATTGAATAGCCTATTAGCGGCAAATTTGTAAATCCGCCACTGGGTTAATGCCACAAATGTTACTTTAAAAAAATATGCCAATTTTGCTCCTCAAAAGGGCCACTACTTGCGCTAACTTTAGGGGGTATAAAAGAGGTTCATTGGGGGATATACACTATCCATCTATTGAAGAGGAAACACAAGAAGAACACCAAAAAAACACCTTGAAGTTGGATACTACTGCTGAACTCAAGTGATTGCACTACTGCATTCAGGGATGCGGCAGTGTGATGTCGCTTGGCAACTGAACTTGAGCCGTTTTTCGGTTCGAAGAGTATATCAGCGGTTCCTGGAGACTGGTGGCCATGTCCGGAGGCATGGGTCTGGTAGACGTCGCTGCACCTCGGAGGTGGCGACCAATTCATCGTATCGACATCTCTAAGAAATCGGTTCTCTAATGCAACTGTAGCTCCAGGCAGCTCGCAGAGCAACCGTGAGCGTTTCTACGGTTAGACGAAAACGGAGAAGAAGATAGCGGCTCAAAGAGCTGCTACAGGTGCAAAATTGACCGCAGAGCATCAGCGAGCCCGCTTGCTGTTTGTACGCGACCACGTCAATTGGACAGTTGACCAATGTAGAGCTATTCTCTTCTCAGACGTGACGAGAGTATGCCTTTTCTGCAACACTAGGTTTTAGGTTAGTTTTTAGGAACCTTTTTGTATTTTTTTTGTGTAATAAATCTGTTTATAATTAAGGCTTGGGTAAGGATTTTTTGTAAACTTTATTGTTTTTTGCACTATTCCAATAAAAAAATAAATGATTTGTTTTTTTAAATTTATTTAATGGGCTTTCAAAGCCACCAATATTGGTGGGGGTAAATGCGTGTGTTAAGAGTTATAATAGCGCTTAAGAGTTATTTTAGCGGAGGTGCGATTTTTTTGACGCCGAGTGTAGTTGATAGCAAAAAATTTTGGACCTTATTGACGACCGACGACCCCCGTTTCCTAGTGGTATGTACGCCGGGTTTCAAGGTGTCGCTTACTCGAGAGGTCCCGGGTTCGAATCCTGGTGGGGGCAGATATCTTTTCTATATAAATATCATTATTTTTGTATTCCATCTGTTACCCTAGTATCCCATAACACAAGCCTACAGTGCTTACTTTGGGGCCTAGGCTAATTGGTGTGAGTGTTGGAAATATGTATTTATTTTTATTTATTTATTCATAGCGTATTTTCTCCGCAGAACTAACGAAACAGTTAATAGGGCAACAGCTATCGGGACACGACTTATCCCGGATAGATTCGTACTGTCGCCAACAAGCAGACTATCGTCTTATCACTGATCTATTGACACCACTAGCGGAACTAGTCTTCCATACGAAGAGCAATATCAAATTGGACGCAGTACAACAGGTAATAAGGGCTGATTTACTTTTATATAGGTTAAAGTGTACCTAGATCTCTTATAAATGACTTTTAAATTTATTCAATAAAATACCTCATCAAGTGCTTTTATATGAATAAAATAGAAAGTCAACTAGTTGTAGCTCCGATGTGAAAAGCATGTGTGGCCTGAGGAGCTCGATGGCGCAAGTGGTTAGCGCGTACGGCTGCGATCGTTGACGTTAAGTAACTTTCGCAGTGGTCGGTCATTGGATGGGTGACCAAATATTTACTATCTCGATCTCCTCCGTGCTTTGGAAGGCACGTTAAGCCGTTGGTCCCGGCTGCATCTGCAGTTGTTAGCACCCGCCAATCCGCACTGGGCCCGCGTGGTGAGTCATGGCCCAATCTCCCTATTCCATCCATAGGGAAGGCATGTGCCCCAGCAGTGGGGACATTAATAGGCTAATGATGATGATGATGTGTGGTCTTATTACAAAGTGTTGACTAAAGTTAAATCCAGTCTAAAAATCATGCTATCACCTTTGTTTGTTAATATAATGTAGATGTCAATACCTTAAATTTAATCCTCAGGTGGTATTCATAGCGATGGGCTTTCAAATGAAAGACGTAGATGACATAGCCAACGAATTAGGTCTACCAGGCTCGCAAATATTGGCCAAGTTTTATGAGGCTTGCAAGAAGATTAATGCAGCGGTAAATTCGATTCTAGAAGACACTGTGGCCCAGGAGATCGGCATAGAAGATAAGACGGCAGATGCGAACTCTGATGGACCCGTCAAACAGAGCTTGCAAGACGAATTGTCTAAAGCTGCAAAGGTAATTGTTTTAGGTTTTGTTGTTTTAATTGGATGTTTTGTGTGGAAGAATAAATTCCAAATGATGTGATAAAGCGGTTTTATTTATTTTTGATGGTTTTGAAAGAAATGATCTTGCTAACCCAAAGTAGGAAGCAACTCCGAAATGTTAAAATAATATATATTTCCACGCTTCCTCAGATATAAAATAAATGAATGAATCTGCAAATTTGTTCCATTAACAACTATATTGTAATTCTTTTGAAAGCCATAGAAATCGACTCATTAGGTTCTGCCGGTAGTTCTCCAAAGAATTGGCGTATCCAGAGGAAGTTAAGCCCATCCCCATCCAAAAGCATCCGAATTCATCCATTAAATCTTTCAAAAAATGTTTTTTTAAATTGACCTTTATGTTGTTCTCACAAAACTTTTTGCTTAGAAGTTATCCGATGATACTATAATTTGTTCCCTTTCCCAAAACGCTGTATATAGTCCCACCTCCTCTCCAAACACAAACTATTAATTCACTACAGGTTCCCACTAATAGGATACAAGCCTTTCACAGAATTCGTCGGCATCATCCGTTTAGGCTATTTAACAGTATGAAAAATAATGTACCAATTGTTGGCTTCTGTATTTAATATGATGAACATAAGCAGCCATTTTACTATTCTGAAAGAACAAATAATTAATAACTTTTCTATAAAATCATTAAATAAAAATGTTTTTTTGTGCTTCATGGTCACGTGACCGAGAACGCCTGAGATTGGCCAAGACTAAAATGACATCACACTGAACTAAACTTCAGGCCAAAGTGACATTACTTTGTATATTGAGACGTTTTAATGATTCATTTTAAGTTTTTGAACCTAAACATCACCTCGGTTTTTTTATAGTAGAAATCACTCGGTCCATAGGCCCAAGCACGAATTTTGACAGCTCCGTTATCCGTTACAGCTGTCAAAATTTAAAGTTAAAAATTATTAAAGTTTCTATGAAAACTAAGCAGCGCCCCTACCGGACGTAAGAACAAACTGGCTCCTTCCATCAAAATTTTGACGATGACGATTCGATAATTGAGCTGTAAAAATTCCTGCTTAAACCACAGGTATCAGGCAGAATTCGAACAATGAACTTTAAATTGCCTGGATTGTTTTAGGAATTGGAAAGGAAACAACGTAAGGAGTTGTCTCGTTTGATGGGCGAAGATTTAGCGCAGTATCGCATCAAGGGCAGCGATCTCGACTGGGGACAGGCTCTTAAGGCCTCTAGTCAAAAAACACTGGTCTCCGTTAAAAGGTACCGTTTGCAGTAAAATAAGTAAATTTTTGTGAAAGGAACAACGCAAGGGATCAGAGGCATCGGCCTCGACTGGGGACAGGCCATTAAAGCATCCAGTCATAAAACACTTGTCTCCGTTAAAAGGTAATAATAATCATCATCAGCCTATTAATGTCCCCTATGCTGGGGCACAAGCCTTCCCTATGGATGAAATAGGGAGATTGGGCTATGACCCACCACGCGGGCCCAGTGCGGATTGGCGGATGCTAACGACTGCAGATGCAGCCGGGACCAACGGCATAACCTGCCTTTCGAAGCACGGAGGAATTCGAGATATAAGATTTTTGGTCACCCAATGACCGACCACTGCGAAAGTTGCTTAACTTCAACGATAGCAGCCGAACCGCCTGCGCCATCGAGCTCCTCAAAGGAGCTCCTAAAAGGCATTAAAATAAGTAAATATTTGTGAAAGAAATAACGCAAGGGATCAGAGACAGCGACCTCGACAGGCTCTTAAAGCATTCAGTCAGAAAACACTCGTCTCCTTTAAAAGGTAACATTTGCAGTAAAATAAGTAAATATTTGTGAAAGAACTTTAAGGGATCAGAAGCAGCGTCCTCGACTGGGGTGAGGTGCTTAAAGCATCAAGTCAGAAGACACTTGTCACCGTCAAAAGGTAACATTTGCAGTAAAATAAGTAAAGGTTTTTGAAAGAACATCATGGGATCAGAGGCAGCGACCTCGACTGGGGGCAGGCTCTTAAAGCATCCAGTCAGAAAACCCTCGTCTCCGTTAAAAGGTATCATTTGCAATAAAATAAGTAAATATTTGTAAATGAAAAACTGCAAGAGTTCAGAGGCAGCGACCTTGACTGGAGGCAGGCTCTTGAAAGCATCCAATCAGAAGACATTCGTCTTCGTCAATGTCCCCACTGCTGAAGCACAACCCTTTCCTATAGATGGAATAGGGAGTTCGGTCCCATGGCTCAGCACGGATTGGTGGGTTGCTAATGACTGCAGATGCAGCCGGGACCAACGGCTTAACGTGCCTTCCTTAGCACGGCGGAGCTCGAGATAATAAATAAATAAATATTTCAGTCGCGCGCAGAGCGGTGTTGTGAGCGCACGCGTACTACTCTCGTCGATAGATTTTTCAAAGATACCCGCTTTTCGTAAATGTAAAAATGGATGAAGTTACTATTGACGAAACGGACAATAATTTAACCGCGAGTGATAAGAGTGATACGGAAGTAATAAGAGGGTGCGAAAAAGAGCTCGGGAGGATGTTAGAATGGGATAATTTAGGTACCGAGTCTTACGAAGTAAGCCGCGGTAAGAGACCACGCGAGGATAGCGAAGAGAGTAAAGAAGATGAGTTTACTACAGTCAACAGGCGAAAGTCAAAGCGACTGATCAGAAGTAATTCTACGAACAATCAGAATTTTACCCTAATGGAAATAGAGACAAGAGACAGCGAGGAATATATTGAAGTTGGTGTTATGTCGCTTCAACCATTATTGAAACAAATGGCACTAGCAAAGCTGTTAAAGTCAGAAAAAATTGAAAAAATTTTGAATATTAAATATAAAAGTCCATACAAAGTGAATATAGGTTTAGAAAACAAAATTGAAGCCGAAAAATTGATTAATTGTTCAAAATTTAAAGAATTAGGTTACAAGTGTCAGTTGACATTAGAGTCTCGTTTATCTTACGGAGTTATAAAAGGTATAGATATTGAAATGGATAATAAGGAGATATTGGATAGTTTGCAGTGTACTGAAGAGATTACATCTGTAAACAGATTGAAGAGATTGAACAATGAAGGAAAATGGGTTGACTGTGAAACAGTACGTATAGTGTTTAACTGTCCGGTACTACCACAGTATGTGTATGGTTATGGTTGCAGGATAAAAGTGGAACCTTATGTGTTTCCAGTTACACAGTGCTCAGGGTGTTGGCGATTTGGACACATTATAAAATTTTGTCCCACAAAAAAAGTTGTTTGCCCCAAGTGTGGACAGAATCATGAAAATTGCGATAAGAAAGACGTTCAATGTCTTAACTGTAAAGGGTCTCACATTGTGTTGGACAGGTCGTGCCCCATATTCCTCAAAGAAAAGTATATCCGCAAATTAATGTGCGAGCACAATGCCACTTACAAACGAGCCATGCAAATATATCTAATAGAACAACAAACTAAATTAAAGAATAAAAATGACCAAAAAAAAACAGAAAAGCAGGATATATCAAACTGGCAACAGGACATATCGTCGAAACCTCAACATCTTCAACGGTCATACAGTGAGGTGGTTACAACGAAGACGCACACTAAGATGCCGTCAGACTTTTCTGAAGATGAAAGCTCACGTTCAAGTGAAAATATTAATGTTAAGAAGTCAAAGATAAACAAAAAGAAGAAAGCGACGATGGAGCGTGTAAATTGTGAATCCACTAGTGTAAATATAAAACAAAAATCAGAAAAACGTAGTGATGAAAAAAGAAGTGAAAAGTTTGACTTTAAAGTGTTTTGTGGTAGAATAAGTGAAATTATTATGTCTGAGAATGAGTTTAATAAAAAATGTGTGCTAATCATGAAGGAAATTTACGAAGGTGTGAAGTTATTTTTCTTAAATATTGTAAGTAAAAGTAGTTTAATAGACTTTTTTATTGGTTTATATAATGGATAGTTACAACCGAAATGTTAATTTAGATGTAAATATATTGCAATGGAATGCGCAAAGTTTAACTCCAAAAACAAGTAGTTTTGGCACACTTATGATACAGGAGAAAATACATGTCGCGGTGGTTAGCGAAACATGGTTGGATCCTGAAACTACATTAAGATTGAGCGGTTTTAATATATTCAGAAAAGATAGATTAGATACTTATGGGGGAGTCGCTATAATTACTCACAAGTCGATTCAATGTCGAATTTGTCCGATCGTTCTTACTAATAGTGGTATTGAGGTAGTCGGTGTCCAAATACTCAATTGCACAGATTTAAAGTACATTTTTTCGATTTACTGCCCCTCATCAATTAGAACGACAGCGTCTGATTGGAATGAAGTATTTTCACTAGTTAGTAGTAAGACTATAGTTGCTGGAGACTTCAACGGCCATCACTCAAATTGGTCATACAAAACGGACATAAGAGGGAGTCAAATTTTTGATGCTGCTCTTGATAATGGCTTCATATCTCTTAATGATGGCCGACCTACAAGAGTAAAAATGGTAGATGGAGTTTTGAGGGAATCATCGCCGGATATTACGTTTGTGTCATCAGACATCGCTACTAATTTTAACTGGTATACAACTAACGAATGTTTAGGTAGTGACCACCTTATTATCCTATATTCTATAAAATATACACAGTCATATAAAAATATAAAAAAAAGAAATTTTAAACTAGCAGATTGGCAAAATTATAAAAGGTTAACTAAGTCTGCTTTCAATTCATGCAATTTAGATAGAAATGTACAAGAAATGTATAACTACCTTGGTAGACAATAAAATCATAACTAGATGGACGCATAAAGGTTTAGCTCAGGGGGACCCTATATCCCCTCTTCTTTTTAATATAGCTACTTACAAAATATGCAATAAAATTACAGAGACTAGTGTATACCAATATGCGGATGACTTTGTAATATTTATAAGCAATAAAAATATTAATACCTTACAGGTATTAATATGCAAAAGAGCAATAAATAACATAACAAACTTATTGAAAGAACTCGGTTTAGATTTGGCGCCTTCCAAGTCAAAGATTTGTTTATTCAGTAGAGGCTTTAAAAGATATAATATTGACCTTATTATAAACAATTATCCAATACCACTGTCAGAGAACGTTCGTTATCTTGGAATGTGGATTGATAGATGCCTCCGTTGGAAAAAGCATGTCAACGAAATAGCAGAGACGTGTCAAAAGTATTTAAATTTGTTAAATGTTTTAGCAGGATCGGCATGGGGAGTCCACCCTAAGCATCTTAGAACCCTATACATATCACTAATTAGAAGTCGATTAGATTACGGTTGTTTTTTGTATCATAATTGTGCCAAAACTACATTATATAAATTAGAAAAAATTCAAAATCAGGCTCTGAGAATTATTGGAGGTTTTATTAGGAGTTCACCAATTCATGTTATGCAGAGTGAACTTGGAATGCCACCTTTATTTATTAGGAGAAAATATCTTGCCTATAAGTATTGTCTTAAAGCGCTGTCGTTTCACAACAATGTTACGGTTGAACTTCTAACAGAACTTAATACAACTTTCGAAAATTCGTACTGGAGAAACAAAACCAAACCACTGTTACCAATACTAGTTAGAGAAACAGCAGAAAGTAATGTTTCTTCAGATTATCCATTAAATATGTACACATTAGACGTGTGGATTAGTCGAATTAACTTACGTGGAATTGTTATATCAAACTTAGAATGTATAAAAGAAGCTAAAGACAATTACGAAACAAATTCAATAAAACAAAACGTAGTAATAGAATTGAATAAAAAATATAATGATTGCACTAAAATTTACACAGACGGATCCAAATCTATAACTGGTCTAGGAGCAGCATATGTATGCCCAAGCAGAGGAGCTAAGGCTTGTTTTAAGGTGCTTACTGATGTATCTGTAATGTCACTAGAATTGATTGCCATTCATGAAGCTATTACATACTCTATTAATGAAGGTCTCTGCAAAATTGTTATAATGTCAGACAGCAAAAGTGCTATTCAACATTTAAATCGTTATGTGTCAGGCAAAAGAGGTGTGCCGGTTGCTTATAAGATACTTCAAAAACTTCACGAAATCAATTCTAGTGGCAAAAGTATTAAACTGCAATGGGTCCCTTCACATATAGGTATTAGCGGCAACGAAGAGGCTGACCGCTTAGCAAAAGAAGCATCTATTGAAGGTGAAAATGCATCAGTGAAACCATTTTATTCCGAAACATTGTCAAAATATATAAAGAGTTGTTATCTTAACTGGAAAGAATATTTTGATGAAAGATCAAAAGA